GAAACTGCAGCGTGAGAGCCTGAGGTGTTGGCTTACACCACTATTGTCTGCTGCTGAAGAAATCATTGTTTCGAGCCCCTCGCTCTTGATAAAAATCTTACTAGACCCGATTAATTCCCTGTGGAGGAAAACCGTCAACAAGGTGTCCCCTGTTTTCAACCAGGGCAAAAAGCAAAGCGGCCCTGCCCCAATTGTATTAATTGTCTGACCTTTCCTCCCAGGTCTGCGTAATAGAGGGTGGAATTGCGAATTGGTTAGTTTCCCCTTCCACCCACACTCAGCAGAAACCTCAGCATTCACTGCATATAAAATCCATCTTCATGAAAAGAAACAAAATGCTCCTCCACTGAACCTAATATCTCCCTTCTTTCTGTTAATGAACGAAACAAAGCAATAACAAGGACGACCCAAACCTCCTCATGAATCACACCTCAGGTCGGAAGCAAGAATGCGCCCTTTGTTGGCCTGGATTAATTCAGAATTGAATGTCCCACTGACTCACCTTCAGTGAAAATGATCCCATGAAAACAGAAAAAGGGCCACTTTTTCTCGATACCACCCTCGACGAGAGGGCAGAATCCCAAGGGCTCTATTTGTCAGATAAACACACTAAATTGGACAGGGAAGGCACATTTCAGCCCAACAGTGGGGCCCAGCTGTCACTTGCGAATTAGCACATCCCACTCCTAGGCTCTCCAATAAAATTCCGAAATGCCCATTTCAGTGCTGAGCATTTAGTACGATGCAGCGCGTTTCCCTGTGGAAGGGCTTGCCTGCCTTGTAAACTGAAGTTGGTAGGAGCGGGCATGCTTCACAGCTACGTCAGGTGTGCTGTGTTCCTTTTCTGCAGTGAACAGGATAACTGTCAGATAAAGCACTGTGGGTGAGGGCAGAACGGAGGCGATTGCAATGCTCAGGATTTATGGTAGGGCTGTAACATACCTCAACCGAAGCACAACGCGAGCATCACTGACAAGCAAACAAAAAAGCTACCAGCCTGGCAGCAAGGTTTAGTCTCCTACAATCTATTGCAGGGAGCGAGGCCCAGGCAGCGAGCACCTGTATTCCCACGGGACAAGGTGGGCTCTGTCCATGGGGGTGCTCATCACAGCAGTGGCCCACAGACAGTCTCAGGACTGGATCCAAGTCGCTTGTAACTAGGGAGGCCTAAAGTTTCATGTGGTAGTTCCCTTAAAAACAAATGCCATGGCTTCAAACTGATCTCCATGACAGCCCCGCAGTCACCGGCCCGCATGTCAGTGTCCCCTTGGTAGGGGCAGGCTTACAGGCAGCCGCTGGAAACTGCCTTAGCGTGTTGCTGTGCTTGCGGTAGGGCCTTCCCCAGCAAGGACACAGAAAGAAATGTCCTGAATCACTCTCCCAGGAGTCGGGTAAGAATTCTATTCAAACTCTAACAACTTCTGCTGCTACGAAATAGCCCTACAGGGAGATGGAAGGAGGAATGTTCATCTTCGATCTTCCTAGAAAGAAGGGAACCACCCTGGGGACAGCTTCAATAGGTGCTGGTGACATTAAGCCATCCCACTGTCTACTCCAAGTCCTCAAAGACATGGAATTATTTCTTGATACAGCCTAGAGCTATAATTAGCCTCCAGTCTACACAGTGGCAGTCAGGCTTCCTCTCCATTTAACTTCCAACAAAAGGTTTGGATCCTCTTATTGTCTTCTTACAAAAACAAACCCCAAGCACTCTAAAGTCATTTTAAGAAAGACCAGCAAGGGAAAGCGCACTCCAGGGAAAGCCAGGACTTCTCCAATCTTCCCCTCAGACCACCCAGGAAACCAGGGGCCACCCTGCCCCGGACTCCTCCATTAGCAACATTCATAGCTGGGGGGACCCAGCCCCAGTGCCTCCTTCAAGCTTGTCTGGGGGCACTGAGGTGAGTGGTCAGCCACCACCAACACACAGCAGCCAGGGACAGAAGACAAAAGAACCCCAGGCAGCCAGCGTGTGGGGAGGAGGGCAGAAGAAACCAACAAATACAGATTCCAAACTCCTTAGAAGAAATTCCTGACAGACTCCCAGTGACAGCCCACACTGCCCAGGTGAGGCCTCCATGATCTCCCCTTCTCTAGAATGCGCATCACCGGGTGGCACCCAGGAGAGTTAGATGCTTCCGTGAAAGGGACAGGCATCCTAACGTGACAGATATTTGCCCCTGGGACATGCTAAATTGCTGAAGTTCCTACAGAAACTGTCAAGGAAGCAGAACCGCGATCCTGATCCAACAGGATGCACGTTAAAAAAAAGGAGACCACCAGGTTATACGCATCAGCGAGGCAGCAAGGGTGACACGATGACCACACGGAAGTGGTATTTGCCCATTCTGCTGCTACTAAGCACATCGACAATGCCACAGGCGAAGGTGGTTACGCCTCCTACCATGGGGTCAATTCTGACTCACGGCAACCCTCAACAGGGTTTTCATGGGAGCAGGGCAGCCTCCTATTTCTACTGAGAAGCAGCTGGGGGCTTTGAACCATTAACCTGGCAGTTAGCAGGCAAACAGTCACCCAGCAGTACTACCAGGGCTACCTCATATGAAATTATTAATCTTATAAAGAGATGAGTCACTACAACCTGATAAGTTCAAAACTGGTAAGTTCAAATGCCTGATTAACACTCGCGCGTACACATATACTCTCTCTCCCTCCGAAACAAAGCCCACTACATTATTTTGATGTCAGAAGGCAATTGACTGAGCCTTGGGAATATCAATAGGGTAGAAGGAGTTACCTGCTAGTCCTGAAGAGTCTCTGTATGAGGCCTACAGGCTATCAGAGTTGAGTCAGGAGGAGTGACTCAGGAGAACAGAAATGGAAACCACTGACCCCCCCCAGGCCTCGATGTGCAGCTCTCTGCGCCTGTAACCAGGAAGTCTTCTGTGCAGAGCACCAAGAGGTCACAGCTGGAGCTTTCCCGAGGAGGCACGAGAAGCTGTGTGCGCCCTGGTGAAATGGGGACCTCACAGTAGCCGTTTAGTAAGACCTGTGCAACAAGACTTTGTCCATACTCGGGTCTCAAGTACTACCTGTGTCTATACACAAAACCAAAGCCTCCTTTCTGACGCTGTAAATCTTCATGAGAGTCAATCGATCAGATCAAGGCTAGGAGAAACACATGGCCGACGATAAGGTCAGCCCCGTTCCACTTCCAGGGCATTCTCAGGTGGTGATTAGAGAGCAGAGAATGAAAACATAAGTTCATAATCTGATTTCTTATCCCCAAATAATAATGCCCGGGATATTGGGAAAATGGTTAGGGAAATGATATATTAGATTTTAAAGTATTTTCCAGACAACAAAAGCTTACCCTTTAAAGTACTGAGGCATCTTAACCATTTTTTCATAGAGAATGCACTGCACATTACCCAGGGCTATGAGCAGACCGTGTGCAATGAAAATTATACCCTGCCTGCCCTACAGCGAGATAAATATTACCAACATTGTGCTCACTGGAGTATGCAAATGACTACCCCTCTAAAATTTACTACGTAAATATGTGTGTGTGGGGTGTGTGTATGTGTGTGTGGAGAGAATGAGTTCATGTGGTTTGGGGGGTTGGGAGCTCTCTAGGTAGCTTCTCCAAGGGCTCCTGGAGGGCCCCTGACCTGGGCTGGGCCCCCAGAGGAAAAGCAGCCTCTGACTCAGCCCAGGGCGGGTGCTGTGGAAGCAGCATCTATCGGCCTCCTTGCGGCTCGTGTGTTTCCTGCAGTCGCTGCCACCCCTCCTCACTGGACCACACTGCTCCCGTGGTTCCCATTGCTCCTGTCTCCAGTTGCTTTGCTTTCTCTCCCCACGTGTCGTGTCTGCTCCTTCCCGTCCTCTGCTGTGAGGATGGGCGCCGCCTCCGTAAAACACAGCACAGACACCTTCGGATTGGCATGTCAGCCAGGCACGTCTAATGTTCATGTGATTTCTGCTCAACACTTGGGATTTTTCCAGTTATCTTTTGGGTTTGCGGCTGTTTTGGAAAGCTGGAGATAGTAGATATCTGCTCACTGGGGACAATACTGGGAATAAGCTTCCCGGAGCTTAAGAAGCTGATGTGAGAGTTTAGCAGCCATCTCCTTTTCCTCTCTCCACACACTGTACACACACACACACACACACACACACACACACACTGTACACACACACCACAGCAACCTACGATCTACAGACAACTATGCGGAAGCTGAGGAACTCTGGCCCTTTCTTAGTTGACATTAGTATCTGAGATATTTTCAGCCAGTCTTCAGCTGGGATTTGCAAGAAATATTTCGAGCGTGCTCAGCACGGCACTTTCAATCATGTTCTATAAATGGGATGCTGCTCAATGAGCCGCAAGGAGAGAATAAGGCGCTGCTACTCCCTCTTCATTACTGGTGGATTATGGCAGTGTGCAGAATGAAAGCCAGGGAGGAGGGAGGGCAGGTGATCCTCGGAGCACCCGGCACGGCGATGTGGCTGCACCAGGAGAAGCCCGGCAACTGCCCACGGCAAAGTGCCCTTGCTCAGTATCCAGCGGTGCAGAGCAAACGTCACACTTGCCTTGTCCCACCACAAAGACAGATGCAGGCTCCCAAAATGCCCTCCACACATTCTTCCATGTCTTACCTGTCCTGGATGCTGTGTTGTAAAATGTGGGGAACGGGAATAGCAGATGAGCCTTTTATACAACTAAAAATGACAGTGTCGTGGAGAGCAGAGACTTCCCCCCAAAGAGCCAGAAGGTAACTGAAAATAACTAAATTAAAAACGAAGAAGCATACGGCACGCATGGACATATCGGGTCTCTAAAAACTGAAACAGGTGAAAACATCCAGCTCGAAAGGTTGACCTTGCTATCCATACCCAAAAGGCAGGCAGTAAATGATAACATCAGCAAGTGGCTGGGCCGTCTCATTCCACAAACCCTTGGTTGTCCTGTCTCCGTGACCCAATGACAGGGGCCTCCACGTCGTGGTCAAGATGAATGTGCCCGTCCGCGTACTTACATCATTGCAGTCGCTGGCTGTGATGTGCGAAGGCCGAGCTTCCTCGTTCAGCGGCTCAATCACTGTCACCTCGTCAAACTCCTCCACTGATTCTTGAAACTCAGGAAGGGACCTTCGTCCATACCGCTTCCCACCGCGGACATATTTGGGCTGAGCTGCTGGGGAGCAGTCTGGGCAAGGAGATAAGAGTTGAGGCACATTACGCGGTGACGTCACTCCTTAGCTGACGCAGCCTCTCATACCTACCCCCAGAGAAGCCGCGGCCACGTGTTAGTTGTGTGGAAAGCGGGCATATCAGAGGGGGATTGGGTCAGACGAACAGCAGAGCAGAGCTGCTAATTCTGAGTTTCCAGCATGTGGAGCAAATGCCCAGCATCTATACATCAAGGGAGCTTCGCAATGAGAACACGAAGGAGTTGACTAAGTGCATATTTAAGATCAGGACAAAAGGGAGAGGCCCTCTTTTTCCTTGGGGTTGAAATATTGACCTCATACTAACATGGAATTCTTAAACAATGATGCTAAAATGAACACCAGATCCCACTGTAAAGTTAGTGTCCACACCCATGAGTCTGCAACACGCCCTTCTCTTATCTGAATGAGTCCTTTGTTAACCATTCCCCTTGCTGATCTGTCAGACAAGCAGGAGGATGGAACAAATAAAGCAACACAGTGGATGCCGAACAGTGAATGACAGCTAGTCTCTCATATGAAACCTGACCTTAAGATCGCATTACCAAATTAAAAGCTGGAGATGAAAACAGCAAATGAGAACCCCCGTGAGGAAAATGGGGCATCATGGGCTTCAGTGTTGTACTTTTTTTTTTTTTAAGGAGTATCCAGAAGGGATAAATCATCTCGACCTTAAAGAAGGACATCAGCTCTTTACCGTTAACACTGCTCTAGCTCACCATTCACCACCAGCACCAAAGCTGCCACCACCACCGCCGCTACCACCACCACCGCCACTGCTGCAGCCACCACCAACTACAGACTAAGCTTCATCTACAGTGGGTAGCTTTAAAGCAATAAAATAAATACTTCACTCTATTCAAGTGCCTTCGAAGAGATATTTTAGCACCATGCGCAGTACTAAGAGAATAGTACATGCTATTCAAATACAGAAGACTGGCTATGCTTAGACTTCCGTTGTCTCACCACCTACACACAGACCTATTGTCTCTGTAGAGAGCACCCAGTGTGTGCTGTTTGAACGTGACAAGCTTCACAACAGGTGTCTGAACTCAAACACGTAGATGTTTAGACAAGACATGTACACACATCCTCAAATTGAAGGCGGCTGCCTGGATGAGTAAAGGAACAAAACCCTTCCCTTGTCATCACTGAAACCATGATAGCAACAGGGACAATCCAGTTTCGGCTAACCACCCTCTCTCCTCTCTACAAGCTCGGTTTCACTCCATTCACAAATATGATCAGAAACATTCAGAAAACTTACAGGAAGGCTCAGAGTGAAGTATTTATGCTAACTATATCACTTCTAGCGATATTTAGATCCAGCCTTTAAAAAGTCCCAGCCAAGTCATTTTATTAGGTCGAGCGATTCTTTTACAGAAAGTTTTTAAGCATACAAAATTTATATTGAAAATCGCATGCATATTTGAAGGTACCTTTTATCAGAAGAGAGTGTGTCAGCTTGTGAGCATTCAGGAGCGGCTCAGACACCCGAGCTACTTGTTGGCAGCTGACACCCACCGATGCTAGTCAGATAAGAGGCAATGCAGAACCATCCTTAATTCATTATACAGGCTTACATCTTAGTGGCACACAAGATACACCTTTAGTGACTACGTGAGCCCAGAAAAGATCAAAGTTCTAAACCCCAAAAACGGAGCATGGAGTGTCACAGCATGAGAGAGTGTCGTGGCCTGTGGTAGCCAGGGCAAAGGAACCCTGTCACACAGACCTCCCACCCTTTCTCAGGGGAGGAGCGTCATAGGTTAACACAGGGGGGAGCCAGGGGCACTCGTTCTTCCTGATTTGGTTATGGCTGATGCAGCACAACTGGAGCAGATCTGAGCTCTGACAACTGAGGGAGCAGAACAGAAATGGAACAGGAAAAAGTACAGTCCACAGGCCTTGAGGGGAGACTTGGAAGGGCCTTAGTGAGCCCTCTCAGGATCACCATGCAGGAAACTGGATTACTGCCGCATGGTGGAGAGAGCACTTCACTCATAGTAGTAGGACAGGCTGCCATCTTTGAGCAGGCACCCTTGCTTCTGACTCAGCAGGTAGAGAGGCTTGGTTGCTATGCTACAAGCACACTGCCCTTGTTTTCTAAGACGGAGATTACATACCTAGCTGAGCACCATGTTTCTACTTCTGGTTATTGTTTGGGTTCACCCACATTTACAAATTAAGGTACATTCTGGCTTCACTTGATTGGCAATAACCAAACCAGGAAGAACTGGTTCGAAGTCCTGGCAAAAGGGCCTCTCTTACAAAAACCACTGTGAACGAAAGGGCCTCTCTTACAAAAACCCACCTGTGAACGAAACGGTTATCTAAATGTTTAGTACTAAATATACCACACAGTATATGGAGCAGTGATGAATTTGAAACATTGGGGTTTTTTTCTAAGCAATAGAAATTAATAGACCGTGAGCCTATAGAGATTCTGGTTTTTGGTTTACTTATTTTTGCATTGGTAGCACAGTGGATTATGTGTTGGGCTGCTAACTACAAGGTCAGCAGTTCAAACTCACCAGCTGTGCCAAAGGAGAAAGATGAGGCTGTCTGCTCCTGTAAAGAGTTACAGTCTTGGAAACCCACAGAGGCAGTTCTAGACTGTCGTACAGGGTTTTTGTTCGTTTTGTTTATTCTTCATGCACTTGGAGGATGCAGGGTTGTTATGAGTCAGATTTCACTCAATGGCAAAGAGTTTGGTTTTGGAAGGAAGTTTTTTGGGTATGTTTTAATAACCAATTTTGAGTAAACGTCATTTACATAGCATACATACATTACAAAGTCATTTTCTAGAGCAATTGATGGATACTCTTTTTGGAATAAAGGCATTAATTAGGATGCACACAGGAAGCACAGGTATTAAGGTTTCCTCATCACTGAATTGTCAAACCATCCATGTGACCAATAAGGAATCAGAATCATAATACTTTCTAAATATCTCCCACTTAGACTTTCAGGGTCACACATCCTTCTTCTACTTTAAGCATTTGCCCAAATGATAAGAGGGGGAGAAATATAGCAAAGATACACAGACCCAGAGAGGGTACCTGTGGTCAACAACCATTGTTTTGTTGTTGTTGTTGTTGTTGTTAAGCATTTGAAAACTGATTCCCATTATTTTTTCTTTGTCTCTTGGTTTTCAGGCCTGTTCCTGGGGTTATTTGGGGTGCTGATTCAGAAAATTGCATTGACAGACCGCATCATCTCTAGTTTCTTAGATAGGGACTTCTACTAGATTTTCAGCTATTAAGTTACACTTATTTATTAATTTTTCATCCTAGCTTCAAATATGAGAAGAATTCAGACCCGCAAATTACAGGATGAGACATATGAGATATTTGAAGAAGAATTAGGTGAAGCAGCCTTCCACCTGCTCTGCATCCTCCTGCCCACCTGCCCTCAACTCCCTGGACATGGACCCCAATTGCTCCTACGCTACTGCTGGCTCTGCTGTGTCTATGCTGCTCCTGCTGCCCTGCTGGCGGTGCCAAGTGTGCCCAGGGCTGCATCTGCAAAGGGGTGTCAGACAAGTGCAGCTGCTGCGCCTGACGGGAGAGAGTCTTGCCCAGATGTAAATGCTGACCTGTACAAAGCCTAAGTTTTATTTTTCACACAGTCCTAAATGTTTGCTTGGTTTCTTTTTTTCTACAAATGACTTGATGTTAATAAAATTTGATGAAGAAGAAGAATAATTACGTGTTAAATTATATATTTCAAGGAAAGTTGTCAATGAACACATGGAGGCTAGCTGGTTACACACAAGTTGCCAATCATGATGTCAGTGGTTCAAATGCATTAGTCACCCTGAAGCCTTCAGAAGACGAAACGGTTTGGCAACCCAAAGGGCTAGGAGTTCTCTGTGCTACAGGGTCACCGTGACTTAGAACCAGTGAGATGCAGTGAGTTGGTCTTTGTGGTAGGAGAGGCTTTGCAGCACACACAGAGACTACAAGCTGGATACTGCAAGACCAGAGCACGGCTTGAGCGGAAAGTAAAAAGAACATTGAAAGGGGACATATCGGGAAGGTGTGTGGGCAACTTAAAGTGATAAAAAAAGTATGACTTCATAGGAATTTTCATAAATATTTTGAAGATCTAAACTTTTCTTCTTCAAATTATGCAGCAGGCATATTTCAGAACACATTTGAAGACATAGACGTCCATGGATAATCCATGTCAAATGATTCAGAGGCGAGGTTGACTCCATGCTTCTTTATAAGAAACATTCTAACTGTTAAGAGTTTCTGTGCACAGGTGGAGACGTTGTGCCATCTTATAACCAGACTGGAAAGGCCTATTTTGAGTTTCAGAACATTTGAATTTCTATGTATTGTACCAAACTCATGACTAATCAGTCGGTTACCACTCATAGTGACCCTATAGACCAGAGCAGAACTTCTCCTGTGGGCTTCTGAGGCTGTAAATCTCTCTGAAAACAGAACAGCCTCATCTTTCTCTTGTCAAGCAGCAGGTGAGCTTGAACAGCCGACCTTGTGGCTAGCAGTAAAACACACAGCCCACTACACTATCAGGGCATTCTTGTTATTGTACAGTAACTTTTATTTCTGGCTCCCGCTTAAGAGAACCAATTGGAACTGCCTGCTGTTCAGTTCCTAATAAAGATGAAGTGAAACTTGGGAAAAATTCCAAGTTCATGGAATTTGCACTGTTCAAATATATCTTTCAATCACAGCACATCATGTGAAGGATAACCTGACCTAAATATTTAGTACAACCCAAACTACCTTAAATAAAGCCAGTGTGTACTTTCTCTACCTCAGGCTAGCTAACACCACATTAAAGTATCCTGATTATTTGGGGGGCGAGCAGAGGTGTGTGGGTATATGGGAACATGTTCTTTATCTCATAAACTAGAGCTAAGAGGGGAAAACTAGTACATTTTTGTAAGCAGCAAGTCAAATATGCCCCAAAACAAGCTGAACATCCGAGGCGCCAAAATGCA